CCCGCAGCTCTAATTAGAAGGGCTGTGGGGTGGGGGGTGTGGAGCCTTCCTGCCTGGGGCCTCTTGTGGCACCCTCGGTGGGCGCCCTTCGTCCCGCTGTGCCGGCGGCACTTGGGCTCACGCAGGATGCCTCAGCAGCCGGGATGCACGGGTGGCATCAAGGTGGCATCTCTGGCCACCCCGACCTGTGTCCCACGTCCCGACGCAATGCCCATCCATGCCAGCTGCCAGACAGCGAGAGCTGGAAAAGACCCTGACGGCTTCGCGCCTGGTGCTTCACTTTGTGCTTTCAAAGATACATGCAGCCTTCCCTAATGAACCTTCCCCTCCACCCTGCCGGGCAGGAAGGAGATTTTATCTTCATACCCTTGGTACAAAAGCAGAATCTAAAGCACTCACCTGGAGGCCCAGCAGGGTCAGGACTCAGCCTCCTGCCTGCACCCCAGTTTTGGGGCTCACTCATGGTGTTGGTTGCTCCCAGGCAAAAGCCCTTCCCCAGAAGAGCTGGGGGGATCTCTGTGAGGCCCAGGAGTGACTTCCCCATCCCCAGCACCCCAACCCCTGCCCAGAAAAGCCCAAAGCCGCTCTGTCTTCAAGCCCATCTCTTCCTGTGCTCATGACACCCTTCCATCCACAGCAAAAAAGGGTGGGATTCAAACAGGAGGAATTTTGCACAGAGCTAAATTGTTTGGGGGTTCTTTCAGGGGCGCTTCTAGGGCGTTTCTTAATATATCTGTTCATCAGGATCAGGCTGGTAATACCACAGCATCAAGCCTTGTGAAACTACGTGAATAATGAATAGCCATCACATGAATATTTTAGAGACACAGTCCTGAGCTTTCCCAGAGCTGCCTTAGAGGAAAATGGGGGAAAAGTTGTCCAGAAAGAACAATGTTTCCTTTAGGCAAAATATGCTGGTGTCATTGGCTTTTGAAAACGAGCTGCTGCTACTAAATAATTCTCAGGATTTGCATCAAAAACTGGAGTAGTGGTTTTGCTCCAAGGCAAAGAAGTTGGGAAGAGAGCCAGTCTTTTTGACATAAGAAGATGATTTCACCGCACTAGAAGGACTTTTACTTCATCCATACAATGGAGTTTTCAAGAAAAATTCCACAAGCTACGGCCCCCTTCCAAAGAGCTGCAGTACTTGGCACTCGATTAATGAAGTTAAAGGAGCTGAGAGAAGGGCTAGTGCTGCACAGGTGGTGCTTTTTCTCCCAGGACAGCGCTGCTCTCCAGCCCAAGCACAGGTCTGAAGGCTGCGGAGGGCTTTCCTAGAGCTCAGCCTTAAAAACGAGGCCCACAGTGAAACCCGCCTTTGCTTGGGACCACAGAGTAGCTGCTGCTTCATATGGGAGCTGCCTGCAACTCAAAAAGTTCATGTGCTTATCGGCCACATACCTCTCTCCTCCGCGCTCTCGTCAGCCGTCTGAGCTCTTGGCCTGTGCACACACGTACCTGGCCACCTCTGTGCAACTCTTGAGACAGTATCTCTTCTTCAATGGCCATTTTCACACTGTGTGATAAATCCATACATGAATATGTTCTAGGGGAAGCAGATTGTCGGGTTTGAGTTCAAGCAAAATAAATATTTCTTGCTTAGGTAGGCACAACAGAATAACAAGAGTGGGATGAGGAATGTTGCAATTAAGAATAGGCAATTAAGAATCTAACTGAGACTCAGATGTCTCTATCACTCAGATCACCTAATCTATATCTGCTTCTGCATTGTTCTGCCCAAAGTAATCCTTGCTGACGCACTGTTTGCTGCTGGCATCAGCAAACAAAAATAATGCCTTAGCGTTTACAAAGCTTCCAGAAATTTATCTGTTGCAAAAATGAAGGCAATATGAGCATTTCTTCAGCAACTCCCCCTAAGACAGCAAATAATATCCTCAGTGACCAGCTTTGGAGCACTTAGGATTGGAAACAAGGAATTGTCACAAATTAACAATACATGGGGAAAAAAAAAATCAATCAAAATTCATAGCTCTTCACTTTTCCCGTTATTACCGAACCGCCCTGCCTATGGGGATGCACACAAAGGGTTGCAAGCCACTCCTGAGCAGCCGCCTCTACCAATCCGTTTTTCCAGGGCTCCAGCTCAGCGTCTCTTCCGCGGGCAGCTCACGGGTCTCAAGCTGGAGCTCGCCATGCGTTTGCACATGGGGACCGGCCCCTTGGCAGCGCTTGGAGGCCGCAGACGGCCCGACGGGCGCCCCGCGTGCTGATGTTGCCGGCCGTGCGGAGCAGGGCCGCCCCGCAGCCCGCGGCGGCCGCTCGGCGCTGGTTGCTCATCACGGGCGCCGCGCCAGGGCTGCGCGGAAGGGATTAAAGGGTTACCCGCGTCCCTGCCCAGCCTGGGAACGGCATCACGCGCGCCTGGGGTGTCGGGTTAGAAGTGCTGCCAGACCCAGGCGGTGGGGAAAGGCTGGGCTGTCTGGCTGTGCTGGTTGGTGATTATGCGGTGTAGAAGGAAGGTAATTTTTAACTGAATTATTAAAGAAATGCAATAATGAGCACTTATATTGTTGCCTCTGTGCCTGTATAAAGGCCTGAAATGGCTTTATTAAAGCTATGACTTGATTAAAAATGAATCTATTAAGTCTCTGTGTGCTGTCTGCAGCCCATCGTCCTTCTATTGAAGCTCCTCATAAATGAAAACACAAACACTGGTTTCTCTTTCATCTTTCTCATTTACCTTTTGGAAGAAGAGGAGAGAATGGGACAGGTTGTGTATGATGGGAGAGCTGGAAGGAGCATGGCAGAGATTCAGATACAGTCTGGGAAAATTATGCTGTACAGTTGCCGACACCATCAAGAATAAAGGAATTGCTTCCTCATTATAACAAATATTTATCATGGGGAGGCATTGGGTGTGTGAAGCACGAGAAAAGATTGTTTATTTTCGCAGAACCCACCAGATTTTCTATGGGGACTGGGTTTTGGAGAACAGCAACCACAGCTTAGATAAGGCCTTAGTGCAAACGCAGGCAGTGCCTGTGCGTTCAGAGGGTCAGCTAGATCTCTGCGATTACAACGGATGCACATTAGAAAGTTACAGTGAGAAATGTCTGGCCTTAATCCAACACCCATAAAGGAGAAATGGTGCATAAATCAGGTCGCCTTAGAAGAACAGTCCGGGTTGTTTATTAATTTACCCCTCTCTCCCATCTCATCCCGGGTAGGGGCAGGAGGTGCGTGGGGATAGAGCTGGCCTGGGGACAGAGGGAACCCTTGTGGGATGAACACACAGACACAGGGCAACCCATGTGGGAGAGACACAGACACGCGGGCATGTGGTCCCGCGGGCACGTGGGCACAGGGACACGCGGGCACAGGGACACGCAGGGACACGCGGGCACACGCGGGCACACGCGGGCACGCGGGCACAGGGACACGC